TTATTTCTACATTATTATTTACATCCTCTGGCTCCTTATCAAGATTTATATCTGTATCTTCAACGTCGTCATTACATTCGTTATTAACGGTATTTTTAGATTGAACACCAAAATACTGAAGTATAGAATTTTGTTTCCTCATTTTAATTAATAATAAAATATAAGTAGTATATAATATAAGTATATAAATATAAGTAATATACTAAAAATAAATTTATTAACACTAATGCAGTAATGCCTAAATAGTAAATAGTTTTACTGAATTTACTTTGATAACAAAATATGATAATATTGACTAAGTATCATGTAAATTGTGTAAACTCAAAATTACCATTCTGAAAATACGAGCTGCCACTTCATGCCTCTTCACCAAATTCAAGACACCATTAACTTTTCGGTGACAATATCGAACAACTGACTGTGACATTCATATACATTTTAAATAAATATTATTAGGTTTACCCGGCTGGTATGATCATAACGAAATGTTTTATATTACTTGTGAAAAATGGAACCAGCAGCAGAGCAATTCACTGTTTGGAAATATTCGCTGGACAGCATTCATAAGAGCACGCTCATAATCAGTTACAAAACGGATTCTGTCATAATTCAGTGGTAGAATATTGTGTATGACAGTGAATAACGCAGAGTATGTTTCTTCCGTCTCACTCCCCAAAATGACATAGACCATTGGGCATGTCTAAATTGTAAATAACAGTATATTAGACCATTATGACAACAGTTATAAGTAATAACGAATATCAACATAATAAATTGCTTACTACACTTCTGTAGAGTACTTGAAATTTTAGAAAACATCGCAAGTCCCCTGGCACTTGAGGAACTGTCTTATATGTACCATCTATTCCAACCATCTCTACTGTAGCCAACTCTTGACGGTATTTTTCAATTGCATAAATGTTTGCAAAAATTACACATACACTTACTCCATTTACAATCAATTCTTGTTTGAAAAATGCTGAGGAAGGAATTTGGAATGTAGAAGCGTAATTTGCATTTCGGGGGTCGCTCAGCATTTCTGAGAGTTCATGGATGTTCCGAGGCAACGGTGGGTGCCTTGATTGTTTCATTCTTTTTGCTCTGGATTGTGTCTGGAGGAATGTATAGCTTATGGCAGCTTGTGGATATCTAAAACAGTATAACAAATTAATACTTATTTAGCATAATTTATGTATTTCACCACAACAATTAAGTTAACTAACTTACTTAGATATTTCACTGTTATAAAGACCGCGAACTGATGGGGTTGTAACTGTGCGGTCAACAGCTCTTTCACCAAGTGCATTCCTCAAGAATGGAACATCTAAGTTATTTATTCATTAATCATCTAGAATAATTTAGACATCTAGTTATTTTTCGTAACTCACAAATTAGATTTATCGTATTGATCAGTAACTTCTTACGATAATATTTGAATCCCAAATTGTCCACATAAAATTTTGAGTTGAGTCTAATGCCGGGGTTTATTCTATATGTTCTTGGTTTTGCATCCATAACAAGTTCAACTGCTCCAACTTCTCCTTGTTCTACTGCTCCATCTTCTTGTTCTACTGCTCCATCTTCTTCATCAGGTGCTGGTCCATCTTCTAATGCTTCTCTATCTTCTTCCGGCTGGGCCTGAATCTGAACTGCAGGCAACTGTTGGGCGTAGGTGTGATCTTGCATTTAGATGTTTGGAGCACCAACTTCTTCTTCTTCTTCTTCGTGAATGGCTGGGATGACGTAATTGTGATCCCTCAGCGCCATTATGGAGGTGTACCTATGCTGAAAAAACTTAAAAAATATTAAACAAAGTAACAAAAGAAATATAAATGAATTGTATAAATATAAATGGTTGGTCTTAAAAAAAAATGTTTCTCTTTTTTTTCTTGTACTCGCAGGTAAATCGCAGTGAACAACATATCAATATATGTATAACCGTGTAATACTAAAGTTATTGTTAGGTATTGCAGGAGTGTCATCAAAACAGCCATCACCAACCAATGACTATCATAACTAGGTCCATGGTTTTTGAAATACATTTGGAAGATTTTTGAGAGCAGCATTCAGTATTTTCAAATCTGCAATTATGAACAATTTGAAAATGTTATACCTTGTTACAATCAATCTGGATAATTCTGTTGAAGGTAGTGAACTAAGGTTAGGTTGAACTAAGTGTCAATTTTACTTCATAATACTACTGACATCATTATTAATTGTACACATAATATTTAATAAAGACCTAGTTATATTAATATTTAATCTTTGTAATAATCAGTGGCTTGTTTTTGAAAGCCCCCTCCTTCCAAAGAATGTTTAAAGATCCCAACATTTAAACATGTCAAATATATAATAATTTAAGTGGGTTTATTTTGTAAATCAAAATGAAAAAAACTTATTTTAACATTCAATTGATGTATTTGTTCAATTTCATTAATTTGTTTTTGTATAAAACTATGAACTTCTAATAAAACTAGTGAGATATAATATGCGAGAATAAAAGCATTTTGAACTGATTTTTAAATTTATTTCACTTTTACAACACACAACACTCACAAAAAAAGTAAGTTTTTAAATGTCACTGGTAATTATTTACCAAACCACAAAGTTAAACGATTAAAATGTCACTGTCGATTGCTTTCTCACTAAAGTAATATAAAACCTAAATTAGTATATAGTTACTTTCAGTATTCAATCATCTATATATATAAAAATGGAGACAAAAAATCGAAATTGCATCAGTTGAGAACGGCTGGGCCGATTTTGCTCAAATTTTTTTTAAGATGTTCGTAATTGCCAGGTGAAGGTTTTTACGAAAGAAAATGTTTAAAAAGTCAACCGAATAATTAGAAAAACTGCAAAAACTATTTATTGATGTCTGGGATTTGAAATCGATACCGTTGTCTTTATTTACTCTATGGTGTATTATATTATATTGGTTTCTATTGGTTAATCGGGCATGTTTGTTGATTTGTATTATTATTTTTTGTAAATATATCTTATAGATAAATGAATGACGGTGTGTAGATTAGACCTATGGGAAGAAGATACGCTAATTTAAAAAGGGTTAAATTTGTTTTTTTTTATTCATCGGATTTTAGTACGGTTATGTTAGGTTAGCAGTGGCGCCCCGACAGGTTAGCAAGGGGTGCAACTGCATGTGCTCTCGTAGTGGGTGGGTGGGTGGTAGGTATAGACGCCTATGGTTATAGGTAGATAGATAAAGTATAGGCGTAAAGTATGACAATGCTACATAGTACATTACAACGCATATGATGTTACAAGTTACTTAGCCACAACATATTAATTGATAAAGACGTAATAGAAACAGTTATATTATAAGAATGAAGAATAATACAATATTCGAATATTAATGCTTCTGGTAGTTGGTACGCTCTATATTATGAACTATAATAATTATAATTGCACCGCCATCCCACTACATGGTGATAAGATACTTAGATACCAATAACAAAGTGTATATTAGGTGTTTATTTTAGATTCTGAGTGAAACGATGAATGTATTGATTTTATAATGATGTGTGTTTTTTTATTTTTTTATTTTTATTTTTATTTTTTTTTGTGTCTGTGTACACGATAAGTAGTCGAAATAATGCTTCGATTTTCGACTTCAGTATCTTGTTCGATTGTAAAGTGAATATCGTTGGTGCATTGGGGAGATCAAAATTTAAAATTCCCAGTACTTTTCAAAAGCGCTAAGAAAAACAAAAGAAAAATTAAGGAAAAACTTGAATTTCTACGTAAAATCGATTTTTCAGAAAATTGAATTTGGTTTTTGGCGTAACTTTAAAACAAATGACCGTAGATACATGAATTTTTCACTGGTTGTTTATATTTGCATTTTCTATACACGATAAAATTTTCAAAATATTTTGATTTATTTTGAACTGTTTAGGGATATTTTCATTTTTCATTTTTTTTTTAGTTTTTTTTCTAGAAATATCAATAAAATTGTATTTGTTGGTTAAAAAAATTTGAAAATTTAATAGAAGGCTTCTAGTATATAGTTTCAAAGGCAGATGAAAAAATATTAAAAATCGTTAGTCACAGTTTTTTTTTATAAGCATTTAAAGTTCAAAAATTGACAAAATATGGAAAAATCACGAAAATTAGCAAATTATTTTAAGTTAAGAATTCGTAAAAATTTTTCTTTTTAAATCTAAGATTTGAAAATGTAATACAAGATTACTCATAAGTTTGTCTACCTTTATCAATAAAAAAATCTCTACCGGACAGTCAAATTAAATTTTTATAAGCGTTTGAAATTCAAATTTTTACAACATTGGATAATCACTCGATTTCTCATGTAGCGATTTTCTTATTTTGTTGTTATTCATAAACGAATAACTATAGATACATGAAAATTTCACTGAATGTTTATATTAGCATTTCCTATACACCATACAATTTTGAAAATATTTTGACTCTTTTTGAGCTGTTAACGGATATTTTCATTTTTCAATATTTTTAGTTTTTTTTCTATGAATATCAATAAAGTTTTATCTGTTGGGCCAAAAAGTGTAAAAATGTAATACAAGGCTCCTGATATATTGTTACAATATCAGTTGAAAAATATTAAAAATACATAGGCACAATTTTTTTTTATAAGCATTTAAACATCGAATTTTGACAGAATTTTTCAAAATCTCGAAAATTATTTATCATAGTAATTAATAAATTATAAAATGTTCAGTTTTTATAGCTAAGGATTGAAAATTTAAAACAAGATTCCACGTAAGTAGTTAATTCTCTTACTGAAAAATCTAAAAAATATACAATCACAGTTTATTTTTTTAGTCATTTTATGTTCAAATTTGGACGAAATTACATATTAAAAAACCTAGTTATTTTGTTGTGATTATATAATATTATTCGTGGGTACCTACTTGAAACTAAATAGAAGATTCCTTGGCAACAATAATGAAAATGTAGAACAAATATCAATATTCAAGGATTTTTCTCTTCTATCAAAAAAACGAATGTTGGAATTAAAAGCAAACCCAACCCAATTACCTAAAGATGCTTTTTCAATGGTTTGTAAAATTTATAAAAAATATTTAAATCCAGAAGTCGTTTGTGATGAATACTTAAATTTCATTCAATGTTTTGATGTTTTTCTTAAAACTGATGAGTTGCCAAAATATCTATATAGTGATAATGATATAGCTAAAGATTCAGATTCTGAATTTGAAACAGAAAATGATGATGATGATGATGATAGTTATTCTTTAAAAAACGAAATTGAAAATCATGGAAGTTTGTTACCAGTATTTAGGTAAATAAATCTTATATTGTTATTCTTTTTATGTCTGGTTTAATATTTTATTATTCAATGTATTTACTAATTTATTTTAAATTACCTTTCAATGTACAACTTTTTTTACAGAGCTTTTATGCGGAATGGTCTTCATTCATTATTTCCAAATATTTATATTATATTGAAACTAGGTTTGACCTTGCCAGTTGGAAGTGTATCAACTGAAAGGAGTTTCTCAAAGTTAAAGCCCATTAAAACAAGACTACGATCTACAATGGGAAATGATCGGTTAGAGGGACTAATGATTATGTCCTGTGAAAATGACATAAACATTAAACATCAATTATGAAGAAGTTATTGAAAATTTTAGTAAAACCAGTCCATATTTATTTAAAGCATTACATTAAAAATAAAAAGTGTATACTGTATAATATGTTTGTTATAAAACCTTAAATGTTTAATTTTTGTATTTCTTAAAGGATTAAATATGATATATTTATAATGTATTGTAAATTGTAATAAAATGTAAAGGTAAGATCTAGGACATCTCAGGTTTCTGGTGTAGACATCTTAATTATATTTTTAGTTATTTTAAGTTAATTACAGTTACAAATAACAGTTCAAAAGAACGTTTTTTTTAAATAAAAAAATGGGTGGGTGGGTGGGTAACTTATGTTAGTTGCATGTGCTCTCAAAATATCTCTGTGCGCCACTGTAGGTTAGGATTTATAGGTAGGTGGAATTAAGTAAAAACGTCAAACTTGGTATAACTTTGGTACTTTTTGAGTTAAATCATATATTACGTACAAACAGCACGGGGTCCGCGATCTACCGCAGGTAAATTACCTATCTGATAATGTACTGCTGCAATTCAGAATTTTTATTCCGGGCAACTCAGTTGGTTATCAGTAGCCGCTGCGACAGGTTGTTCTCAGCGCTCCGATCAATCCCAACGTTTGTGTTTCTTATAATTAAGTTTATTCAATGAATCCTAAAAATAATAGTAGTTCTCCTCAAGATCGCAATCTTCCAGATACTTCAAAAAAAAAAAATACAAGAACTAGTAGTGTTGCTCTCACTCCTCCTTATACAAGTAAAAACCGATTCGCCCCACTTCTAACTCTCCAAGACAACGACAAAACGGACGGCACCGACGACGAAGTCAGCTCTCAACAATCACAGGTTAGACCAAAAATTCCACCTATTTACGTATACAACATTTCTGATTATCAAAACTTCCATACATCATTATCCAATATAACTTTTCATGAATTCTCCATCGTGAACACAAAATCTGCTCTCAAATTAAACATGGATTCCATTGACGATTATAGAACCGCAACAAAACTTTTTGACGAATACCACACTTACCAATTCCCAGAAAACAAACAACTATCTGTCATCATTAGGAACCTCCCTGTAAATATATCAGAAGCTTGCATACATAAAGAACTCGTAGAACTGAAATTCGAAGTAGCCTCAGTTACTCGTCTGCAAAATAAATTTAAAACTCCAATACCTATTGTAGCGGTACTGCTATCCAAATCATCTGCTGCGATTTACTCTCTAAACAGACTCTTGCATTGTGTAGTAGCGGTAGAACAAAGGCAACCTTCCAAAGGCATTCCTCAATGTACTAACTGCCAGCGTTTTTCGCATACAAAAAAGTTTTGTCACTTACCACCTAGATGCGTCAAATGCGCAGGTGATCACCACTATAGTTCTTGTCCAAAAGATATAAACACTCCACCAAAATGTGTAAACTGCCTTAGCGATCACCCAGCGAGCTACAGAGGCTGTACTTTCTACAAAGAAATTTCAAAAAAAAAAAAACAATTATAACAAAAATAACGCTACCCAACTTCCAAGCAATTATACGAAATTCAAATTCCCGGCGAACATCTCTAATAGTACACAAAATGACGTAACCGATAAACGTTCATATGCTGCCGCATTTAAAAATAAATTGCAAGATAAACCATTAAACAACACAGATAACGACTTCATGAAAACGCTGTTACCCTTAATTAACACATTCGTTTCTCAATTATTGCAGAAAATAATAGAAAATCTGCCAGCCATCCTTAATAGCGTACATCTAAACTCAAATGGATCTCCATAATACCATTCTATTAAACTGGAACGCCAACGGATTAAAAAATAAAAGGAACACTCTACTAGCCTTCCTTACTCATCATAACATTGATATCGCTTGTATAACAGAAACACACTTATCAAGTGTTGACAAAATTAAATTCCCTGGTTATATCATACACCGAGCAGATCGTGTTACACAGTCACGAGCTATGGGAGGAGTGGTTATTCTTGTTCGTGCCCAAATTAAACAACAAGAAATTCCTAATCTTAACCTGTTGTGCCTAGAAGCCGTAGCAGTGCTAATTAAATTAAACAATAGATACGTTACCATCGTTAGTGCTTATCAACCTCCCAGTCGCCAAATGCACATTTCGGATTACGATAAAGTAATGAGTCTAGACAACTCAATTATAATGGCAGGCGATTTAAACGCAAAACACACTAATTGGGGTTGTCGCGTAATTAATTCGAATGGCACCAAATTACTATCTTTTATAGATAACACGCCTTATACAATTTATGCTCCAAATGAGCCTACTTATTTTCCTACAGATGTCAATAGACAGCCAGAAAATCTTAGATATTTTATTAATAAAATCATTTCCTTTTAATTGCACGCAAGAAGCTCTCGCTGAGCTCGACTCAGACCATATCCCAGTTAAAATCACAATTAATTCATCTTCACAATCTTATCAGTCAAACAACTCTCTAATTAAAGGCAAACCTAACTGGGATATATTTTCAAATCAAATTAATATCAACTTAATAATACCTAAAACTATACCCACGATCCAAGCTGCAGAACAAATGTCTGAACACCTAACCACAGTCATTGCTGACGCTGCACGAGCGTGCTCCAAGCCCACGCTACATAATACTAAAAACATCGGCTTTCTACCTCAATATATACTTTCCTTAATCCAACGTAAACACCATGCTAGACGAATTTGGCAAAACCAAAGAAATACGGAAAACAAAAAGTCACTGAATAAACTCACTAAGGACGTGAGTACGGCTTTACAAAACTACCGTGTGTCGTCGTATAATAGCTATCTCCTAAAAATATACCCGGGAGATTCAAATTTATGGAAGGAAACCAAACGACTACTGAACCAAGAAATAAACATGATCCCCCCTCTCCGTACAGCAAATCAACTGGTGATATCCGACGCAGATAAATGTAATGTTTTTTCAGAAATGTTATACAACACATTTTCTACCAACCAAACTACAGATATAAATAATGAACGGCGGGTCCAGAATTTATTAGATCTACCTGATTATTCAGTTCAAACGTGCATGGATTATGTTACACCCAATGAAATTAAGCTATTTGTCAAAAATTTACCAAACAAAAAAAGCCCCGGGCCACGACCACCTTACCAACCTTATGTTTAAGAAACTTCCTGCCAAAGGACTCGTCTTTATGACTTCATTATTTAATTTTTTGTTACGCGTTGGTCATTTTCCACTGAATTGGAAATTAGCAACAGTTATACTAATTAAAAAACCGGGTAAGGATAAATCAAATCCTGATAGCTACAGACCGATAAGTCTACTTACCTCCCTATCAACAATTTTTGAAAAAGTTATCCACACAAGACTACAAAATTTTTTGAACAGCGCAGATGTTATCCCAAAATTTCAATTTGGGTTTAGGTCCAACCACTCGACAGTACAACAGCTTTTCCGTATAACAGAACATATTAGCACCTCATTTGAAAAACATTGCCATACTGGAGCTGTATTTATAGACGTCTCAAAAGCGTTTGATAAAGTATGGCACGAAGGTCTTTTATTCAAACTAAAATCTTTCAATACACCGAAGTACTTATTCAATATTATCAATTCCTTTTTAACAAATAGACAATTCTCAGTTAAAATAAACGAAAATTTCTCTGACCCCCGGTCCATCTCTGCTGGTGTACCTCAAGGGTCCAAACTCGGACCTATATTGTTCAATATATTCATATCTGATATACCGCAATCACCACGCACAAACATCGCCCTATTCGCAGACGACACAACTATCTACAGTGAATCCCGCAACGTTGAAGCGATAACAAACAACTTACAAGATCACCTAAATCTACTGGCAAAATGGTGCAATAGCTGGAAAATACACATAAACGCTTCAAAAAGCACAGCAGTCATATTTAGCTTACGTCGCTATTCCACTCCACCACCATTAAGATTCGATAACGATTCCATACCTTGGCATCCTTCTGTCAAGTACCTTGGCGTCACGTTAGACAGGAGGTTAACCTGGGGGCCTCACATAGCTTCTAAACTTCAACAAGCATACCAGCGCCTCTCAATGTTATTCCCTATCTTAAACAAAAAATCAGTTATACAAAAAAAATGCTCAATATTAATTTACAAGCAATTATTACGCTCACTTATTACCTATGCCTGCCCTATCTGGGGTAACTGCTCAACTACACACTTAAGAAAAATACAAATTTTCCAAAACAAAGTCCTCAGAATAATTGCAAATGCCCCATGGTTTGTCAGAAATGCAAATCTCCACAAAGACTTTCAAATCCAAGAAATCAAAGATCATATAAAAACATTAGCAAAAAATTTCCACTGCTCTCTTCCAAACTCATCAGGAGCAATTCACTATAACCTCCTCACTCACCCAACTCATCGTCGATTAAAACGAGGTCGTCCCCACGACCTCCTACACTAAGCCACTTCTCAACATCCAGATCTCCACTCTACACACGCGCTTCCTCCAGATAACTCTACGACCTCTCTGCTACTTATAGTTATTAAATTATTGTAAATATGTAAATACTAGAATAATATTATTGTAATCACATTGTAACATCTGTAAATATCTTGCAATCACCAATTGTAAATTATCCTTAGTACTTATAAATATTTAATCATCATGTTAATACCTGTTAAAACATAAGTATATTGTCAAATATCCCTAGACATAGATAGCCTTAGGCTAGGAATGTCTTAGTTTAAAATAATAATAAAAAAAAAAAAAAATTCCGGGCAACAGAAAAGTTAAGATAAATCTAGAACATCATACACCGAATATTAAATAACGCATTGAACAATGTTTGAGTCATGTAGAGTTGGTACATTTAACGGGAAACGAAGTGCACGGGATCAGCTAGTTTAATATAAAACTTAAAATACAAGTAAACGTTTTGTATCATATTATTACAATAGTTTGTTGATTCTTGCTCATTCGTGGCACTTGTAACGAGCGCCATATTACAAATTAATAAAGGTTGACATATTTTTTTTTTTTATAAAATGTACAATATAATAATAATAAATATTTAATTTAACTGTAAATTTTTCCATTTAAATAATAACTCTAACCGCCAAGCCGAATTCTACGATTTATCTATGGACGCCATGTCAGTCAAATTTGACTGACAATAAATCTCATGCCGACGGGGCGAAAACATGTGTACCACTCATAAAGGTTTATATGTGATAAAATTAGTTTACGTTTAGATAACACGTTTTGGATCAGTGTAGCCATATCAGGGGATGCATATGAATCAAAATGATAAAAAAAAAGTGTCAGTCATATGTGACTGACAAGGCCCCGAACATGCAATGATAATATTTTGTCAACCAAAGTTGTTATCAAATATCACATACTATTAATTATTATACAATTATTCAATTATTTGCTCAAAACATACTCTAAGTAGTCTAAGTCTCTAACTCAACGACGTTGGTAACTGGTAAGTAAGTATTGTAGTTGTACGAATTCCAAAATATTATTATAAGAAACAAATTCTGCAATACATTAATTACTATACATTTTAGCATGATGATTAGACTTTTATTTTTTTAGACTTTATAGTTAGTATTATATAACCATTTTTGAATTCATTATTACATCAACTATTTATTATTAGTTTATAACTGTTATTTTACAATAATAACAAATAGTTATGTATTATTCATTCAATATAAAAATTAGTTACTTATGTTACTATTAGTTATTTCTGTATTGCAAAATCTGTTTATTATAATACTATTTATGGTTATAGCAACTGTCAATATTTACTCCTTAACATATTTTATACCACAGTGTACTTATTTGCAAATAGGAAATAAAATGAAAATGTTTATTATGTTCATAGAAAAATGGATACTTATGATATTGAAATGGCGTTAGAAGATGACTATGATATTTCAGATAGTGAATTTTATGACTCATATAATGATCCTGAATTTGTTTTAAATAATCAACATAATGAATCAGATTCTGGTGAAAGTGATGATAATCTACTAGGTAGTGTAGACAATTTACCAAATAACAGTGACAGTGAAACAATGACATCTATTTCTGATATTAGTTTAAATTTCACCTGGGAAGATTATGATGTAGGGAACCACAAGATATTTCAGTTTACTGGTAATGAAGGTCTTCAAATAAATACTGTAAATATAAATTCAACTCCTATTGATATTTTTTAATTATTTTTTAATGATGATTTAGTTAATTTAATTGTTTGTGAAACTAATGTTTTTGCCAATCAAGTACTCCAATCAACTAGAATTTCTAGAAATTCTAGAATGAATAATTGGACAGATACTAATTCCCAGGAAATTCAAGTGTTCTTTGGTATTTTTATATGGATGGGCTTAAACGTTGAACCAGCATTATCTGATTATTGGTCTAATGACCCATTAGACAAAAATGATTTTATATCACATCTAATGACACGCAATCGATTTGAGCTATTAATGAGAATGTTACATTTCAATGATAACCAAATACCTAATCCAAATGACAAATTAGTAAAAATCAGACCCTTTCTTACATTGTTGAAAAATAATATTCAGTCAGTTTATTCAGTTGGTGAAAAAATGGTAATTGATGAAAGTATGATTGCCTGGAGAGGTCGTCTTGGGTTTAGGCAATACATTCCAGGAAAAATACATAAATTTGGTGTCAAAGTTTTTAAACTTTGTACTGGGAACGGTTACACATATGATTTTGAAATATATTCTGGTCGAGAGATAAACACAGTAACAGCTACAGGAAATGTTAGTAAAAAAATTGTGATGAAACTTACCAATAATTTATTAAATGCAGGACGAACATTATACACAGATAACTTTTATACAAGTTGTGTTCTAGCTCGAGTGTTACTTCAAAATAAAACCCATTTAATTGGAACTCTTCGAAAAAATAGGAAATATCTTCCTAAAGATGTTGTAGGGGCTAAATTAAAAAAAACTGAGGTTGTTGGAAAACAGTGTCAAGATGGTATAGTAGTTTTGAAATAGAAGGACAAACGTGATGTCCTGATGTTATCAACTTGTCATGGACTAGAACAGGAACAAATTCCAAAAAGAAATAAGAGAGCAAGTCCTAATTCTATAACATTAACTCCATGAATGAAGCCCAAAGTAATCATTGATTACAATACAGGAAAATGTGGTATCGACAAATCTGATCAAATGGCTTAATATGCTTGTGTAAATAGAAGAGGCGTAAAATGGTACAGAAAAGTTGCATTAGAACTGATTACTGGAATGGCTATGGTAAACGCTTGTATAATTTTTAAAGAATTAACTAAGTCCAAAATAACTATAACTTCTTTTCGACGTGAAGTTTGTAAATCATTACTTGGAATAGAAACTCAAACTAGACTTCCTCCAACATAACCAATGATTCATATTCTTCAGCCAAGAACCAGTGGAGGTACAAGTGATCGAAAACAGTGTGTTTTATGTTATGAAAACTTAACAAAATTAAAAAAATTAAGCAGGGATGAAGCAAGGAAAAGGGTTAAAAAAGTCAAAACATTTTGCAATGGATGTCCAAAAAAGCCAACAATGTGTTTTGAGTGTCACATTGCAAAACATAAATAATAATCTTTTTAATGTTTTAATGACCTTTTTTGTTTTTTAATAATCTATTCACTTTGTTGAACTTAATTTTAGTAAGAACTAAAAAGATTTACTTACTATTTGTTTTGTTTGAATATTATAAAAATTGTTAATATGAATATTTTTAATTATGAGCTTGTGAAGTTTTAAATTTTATATATCATACAATTTGTTTAAACTATTTCAGTAAGGGTAACTGTATTAAATTTATTTTAATTTGATAAATATGTGTTATGAAAAATAAAATGATGAATCATTGCCGGTTGGCTCAAATATCTATATTTCAAATCAATTTTTGTTAGAGAAATATTGTTTTAACAAAAAAATGGCTTAGGAAAAAGTTTCTTAACATTTAATTGTATATACATTCCAATTTAAGTATTTTTTTTTTTTTGAAATTTTTGTATCATGCATAATAATGTGTGTACACATGGAAAATGATTATATTATGAATTAACATGTTCTCAAGAATATTTTTGAGCAGAAAAAGTATTCAAAATGACAAAGCGCGAGGATATGAATTAGGAAAATATTCGAGAATCCGAATAGATAACTAAGAGTCAGTCATATATGACTGACATGGCAGTAAGAGTGTTAAATAAATAATTGTTTTTTTAACAACATTTAGTCAATTAGATATAATATTATTTTATTTTATTTTTATTAAGATACAGGCCATTTCCCAAAACCAATGAGAATAATATAATAGGTATTACAATAAATTAAATGATAAATAGTAACAAATATAATAAAATTAACAATTAATCAATAATAATTGAAAGTAATAATATTTACAACAATATTGGCTATACCCTGTTGAACAGTATTCAGTAATTTTAAGGATAATTGAAGCTGGGGTCTTCATTAGCAATCCGCATAAAGGTCCGCACACACTGCAGCGGTGGTGGTAACCATAACCGCCGCCTTGTTCACACCGAAGCGGTAGCGGTGGCGGTGTACTTACGTCAAATTTGAAATGATATTATATTAGCTTAGATAGTAGAGCCTGGGGAATTTTCCCCTAACTGCTCCATACCCACCCCTCCCAACAGTGGCGTCATTTGGGGGAGGGCAACTGGGGCATTTGCCCCAGTCTAGTATTTACATTAACCTTAAGTTGGCACATTTACCACACGCCCCCCCCCCCTGTTTACTTCTATAGCAATATGCTATGAGAATCTGCAGAGTGAAAAAAATGTTGAGTCTGAAAAGCAGTGAACAATTGCCCTAGTCTAATAAAAACTGAAATGACGCCACTGCCTCCCAAAAAAATACTTAAATATTTTACACCACATTGGAATAAAGATATGAAGATTTCTTGTTCATTTCAATTGTCAACATAAAAATATTTATAGACGCCTCCCCACCAAATCTCAAACACTATATGCGCCTATAAAAATAATATTATAGTTAATAATAATAATAATAATGAACTTTATTGTAACAACAACAGTACATACATAATAAGAATAACAAAATAACACGAGTTACATATTGCAGCACCCACTAAAAGCAAAGCTTGTGCTGGGGGAGCGAGTTCTTTTGACCTACCTAGGAATATACATTAATTTTAATAATATAATAATAAATCTGTTTTCAACATACTATTACACTATAAACATTATAATACATAATACAATATTTTAAATAATAGTCTTATTAAGTATAATCATATTTTCTTTAACAAATCAACATGCCTAAGATAAGTTTTGAAAGACTTTACATTTTCAAACTGATTAATATTAATATTTAATAATCGACATAAATTGAGACCAGTATACAATACACTTTTTTGTCCAAAGGCTTTTTGGCATTTCAATAAACGAATATTAACATTTTGCTTGTATCTAGTAGGTATTGTGATCATGATCTGATACAGGTATGCTTAAATAAATGAACTAATACAGCTTGATTATATACTACCTTAAAATTATTTATATTAAGTTTGTCATAAATTAAAATAGTATTTGTTTGCAGAGGAAGATTTAATAAATATTTAATAATACCATTTATTGTTACATTTAAGTTATGTACAATGGTGTTACAAGCTCCTCCCCTAATGGGTATACCATATGAAAAAATAGATTGTACTAAGGCTAAATAAATAATTCTTTTATAATTTACATCTAATATATAAATGGCTTCATGAAATATATAGAAAAATTTAAGTAAAATACCATTTATGTAATTTACATGACCATCCCATCTAAGTCTATGATCTATTTTTAAGCCAAGATATTTTAACTCATTGACTTTTTCAAGTTTTACACATTTTGGATCACATTTATTTAAATTAGTATTACATTTTAGGGAATGTACAATCAAATTATGTCCATGTAAAACATTATTAGCAGATAAATTAAAACATATAAATTTAGATTTTAGTAAATTTAACTTAATTTTACAAAACCAAATATATACATCATTTAAAATATTATTTGCTTCATGATACAAATTGTCGATTGTTAGTTCGGATATTAGAATAGCCGTATCATCAGCAAAACTTATGAATTCTTTATTACTATTTATATTTATATTCAATAAGTCATTTATAAAAAAGATAAACAACAATGGGCCTAAGACTCCACAGGTTATATCTTTAGCTTTACTACAACACTCATTTATTTGAACTATTTGAGTTCTTTCATTTAAGAAAGATTTTATTAGATTATTAGCACTCCCCGAATACCCGAATATTCTAGCTTTTTTAATAACAACTCATGATTTACACTATCAAAGGCTTTTTGCACGTCTAGAAAAATACCCATTACTTTGTAATTAATGTCAATATGTCTACGAACAAAGTTATCAAGTTTAAAAAGAGCATCACTTGTTGACAAACCAGCCAAAAAACCAAACTGTGAATTGGAGAAAAATGAATTCTTTTTAAAGTAATTTAATAAACGGTTTTTGATACATTTCTCAAAAATGTTTGATATAGTTAAAGAAAGTGAGATAGGTCTATAATTTCCACATGATAATTTATCACCTGATTTAAATAGTGGAATAACAATACATTTTTTAAAAGCTAAAGGGAAAACACCTTTTAATAAAGCATTATTAAAAATTAACGATAACGGTAAAGAAATAGATTTAGAAATTTTCTTAAGGATATAGTTTGTTAGACCATGTTCATAATATGAATTAAAATTTTTAATCTTATCAATATACTCACTAATCTCTTCACTACTAATTGGATTAAGAAAAATACTGTTATTGCTCTGATTTTTATCGTTAAAGTAAATATCAGCAGAATTTATATGTTCTATTTCTAAGTTATTTCCTACATTTACAAAAAAGTCGTTAAACTCATTACAAATTTCAGTTTTAGATTCAACGATAATACCATCTTTATTTGTAATTTTATTAATATTATTCATTTGTTTGCTCGGTTTACCCATAATTTCATTTATAAATTTCCAGATTTGTTTGTTGTCAGATTTATATTGCTTTAATTTATTTTGATAGTACATTTGTTTTGATTTTCTTATCAAAAGATTTAACATATTCCTATATAATTTATAGAGATTTTTAAATTTTAAATCAAAAGGCCTATGTCTCAGCTTAGAAAAATGTTTTTCTCTATTTCTAATAGAAGTAATAATGGCAGGTGTAATCCATGCTTTTATATTTAGCATTTTTTTTGGTATAGTTTTATTTTGTGGTGCGTAAACGTACAAATGGTCAGGTCTTCCAACTCTAGAAAATGCCACATACAATTGTCCGTGTGAGAAACAGTTATTTTCTAAATCTACACCACAATAAGTTAAAGTCTGACCTTGAGCTTTGTTTATTGTCATTGCAAAACAGACTTTTATTGGAAACTGAACTCTTCTAAACTTAACTGGAAAATCGTTGGGGTATAATGGTATTTTCGGTAAAAATATATTTTCTCCCTTAGCACATCCGGTCAAAATTTCAGCTTCGATTACATTTTTTGTAAGAGAGGTGACACGAAGCCTAGTCCCGTTACATAATCTAGGAGAATTCAAATTTCTCAATAATATGATTGGAACCCCCACCTTCAGTGATATTTTATGAGGAGGCACACCAGATGGTGTTTGTGAATTTAAGAACTCTGTAGGAAAATGTACCGATTCTTCACTATCAATAACTGTACCGATAGAAAAGTAATCCATTTCTAGTGCTTGAAATCCACTAACTATTAGTGAGTTTATTGTGTCAGCTCGGTTATTTGTAGTTGTTAAAATAACGCGTTCGCATAACCATTCACTATTCAGATTTTTCAATTTTTGTACCGTATTTCCCGTTATCGGCCGACTGCTATTGTTATTATTATTATTATACATTATTACAAATTACACGTAAAAAATTATTTTTGCCAATTTCAACCCTTTAAAATCAAAATTTTGAAAATCGGGCGATGTGGTGACACTCACGAAGGTATTTGGAACAACTTGGTGAAAAAAAATTGGAAAAAAGTTAAATAACGTCGTCACAAAATTGGTACATAAAAAAGGCCTGTTCTTTTATATATATAAGGATAATTTACTTACCTACATATATTTATCATTACTGAACAGTATGACGTGTTAACTTTAAAATATAAACATGTTTTTCTAGAAAAAAGGTAGCCGGTAAGTAACTATGTAATATATTATATTAAATATATTTTATTACCTAGGTACCTATTTGATTTTACGTTGTATATATAGTTGAATGGATAGGCCTTGATAGTTTATAATATAGAATCTAAACATAATATGATAGTTTATTTTAACAACTATTAAGTTATCAATCAAGCAATTATTAATTAAAACAATTTCCTAAAATTAATAATGGCCTAATAATAAATAATAGTACCCATTTCATAAATCGCTACTGTCACTGCAATACCACGTAAATAACATTTCACAAATTGTTCAGGAGAGACATAAAACTAATTAATTAGTGTGCAAGAAATAATTTTACAATTTTTTTTTCTTATATTGATATTAGGAGCTTATTATAGTTTAAAAACAATGAAAATTATATTTTGTAATATCATTTAATTTAATTAATAGTACTTACGTGGTTTTTCAGCAATATAATGAAGATACGAGGTATTGAAGGATTGCGATACGTGTTGTTTAAATACAAATGTTGTAGATACGTGTAATTTATATTTATTTTATTTAATATAATACTTTATTTAATAATATTATTATAATATTAATTAATACGTTTTTAAAATATATCAAAACTGTATTAAAGCAAGCACATACTCAGCATCAATTTTTTTTGGAGAGGGGGGGGGGGTGAACCCCTAAAATCCCCCTGGATACCGGCTTGTATTATAGTATCAAATAATAACCAGCTAATACATTTTAAATTTTGAAATAAATGAACAATCTTTGTTTTATTTCACAAATCAATAAAAAATTAAACAATAAAATATATTAATTAAAATCAAAAACTTTAACTAGGTGTGTAGTATAAATAATAATAATATAAGAAATACAACAGTTAACTAAAATAAAAATATCTTGTTAAAACATAATAATTATAAAAAAAAAAAAAAAAACATAATATCTGAGTTTTACCACATTATAAATTGTTAAAATTCCTTATTTAATATCTTAATTAATACTGAACACCAATAAAACTGCATTATAGTATAAATATTAATATACAAAATATAACAATTCACTAAAATAAAATAATAAAAATATCTTGTTAAAACATAATAATAATAATTATAACAAAAAAAGAAAAAACATAATAACTAAATTTTATCACATTTTCTTTCTTTATAAGTCTTTAAGTGAGGTATATTGTCATAATAATCGTGGACATCAGTTGGCAGAACAGTTTTTAATTTTTGGAGATCATTCCACTTGGAAAGAGTAATAGGAATTCTGCTATTATACAAACAAGGTGTGTTGATGGACAGATCTATAGTTTTTTTTGTTCGATGGTACTGGGGTAATTCTGTATATTCATGTTCAAAATTTATTTTGTAATATATTTTTTTGGTTGTGGGATCATATTTAAGAGCTCTTATATTTCGAACTTCAGGGTCACCCTTTGATCGCCCAGGTCGTATAGACTTATAATAATTCAATTTTTTGTAGTCATAGAAATCTGAATAGTTAACAGAGTGGGATTCATAGGGTGATGGATTTTTCCTTGCTAGTTTTGTTAGTTTCATGTAGTCAGATGGCAAATAGATTTCTTTGTTTTTTATTGTACGTTCGATTGAACTATGTACACTGTCGCATGGCATTTGTGTATGTCCTTTGACAAGGAACTTTTGTTCTATAATAACATTATTTTCTATAGAAAATTTAAGTAACGCATTGGACAATACCGTGTTGCGGTTTTGATACCCACAACCGTCCGAGTATATAATAATGTCTTTTTTTTTATTTTGAGTCTCATCTATGCATTGTTGTTTAATATGATTCAATATAATTGATGTAAATACCGATGCTTCGAGTTCCCCTTGACTTTCATCCCACCAATAATTAGAACAAGGGTGGTTAGGTTCTAAATTATAGACTGTAAAATTGTGTACTTTAAGTTTCATGCTGTAATATAAGGCACTAGCATTCAGCGCAGGGCATAGTTTCACAGCTTGTAAATCCATTGTCAAGACTATTTTTTTGAAAGCAACTGCATCAAGCGTATCAACTTTAAGCTCTTCTCGGGCTTGATTTTTTTGAGCAATATGTAGCTGATAGTTTTCTTCATTTACTTGTTTGACTTTATAACTTGAGCAGGTATCACATAAATCTTTTCTAGGTTGGTATATGGAAAATTTTTTTTGTGTCATAAATCTGGAGAAAAAACTTCTACTTAATGGTTTCATATTCTCTTCTTTACATTTCAACAAATATACATCATAAACTTCTTGTTTGCTATTAAACGGACCCTCAAGGTATAGTCTCTCAGACCTCTTTCGACAATAATGACTGGGCATTTTCGGCAAAGACCCAAACCAAGATATGAGATGATTATGTCGTACAGACACTGATACTCGTGGTATAGGTTCTTCAATTTCCTCTTCATTATCAAATTCCAAATTTAGATTGTTTTGTAAATTATTATTCTTTATATTCTTTGTTGATTGAGGTAATCCATTAATTGAAGAGTTTATCCAATTCCTCACCATCCATTCATTCAAACAGAGCGTATTCAAAAACATTTTTTTACAGACCGGTAATGATATGTCTTCTTTTTTTAAGTGATAAGTGTAGGAATAATCTCTTCGACTTTTTTCACTTTCGGTCATTATACGTTTTGTTTCTGTCTTGGTAATCATATTTACACAAAAAGTTTTCTTTTCTGCCCAGGATGTACAATTATTCCAAAAATGGTTAAACAGTTCACTTCTCTCAGATTCAGAAAAATTGTCGCAGTATCTGTTTTTTGATTTATTGCAAAATGTTGAAGCACATGTTGGTTTCATTTTCCTTTCATCCTTATTTACATCTTGAGATACTTTCTTGCCTTGCCTCTGAAACCCTATGTATGCCTTTCCTAGCAATCTATTTTGTTGCATAACTTCCCTATTCCAATTTTTTTTTTGTGATATTATACCCCTTTTACGCACTCTTTTGTCAGTGATTGAATCTGAAGTTTCAATTTCAATTTCTTTTGAATAGTCATGATCATAATTAATAAATTCACCATTATCAGTTTCAAAATTAGTTATACAGTCAGTCTTGTCATAAATACTGTCATCAACTTGATTTTCAGTGGTTGGTGAAGTATTATTAGGAACATTTAAATTATTTTCATTAGAAATATTACCTGGTACATCAATGGAAGTTACAACTTCTACATCTTCATAAGTTAATTCAATATTATATTTTAAGCAATCTTCATAATTATTAAATTCAGAATTATCAGTTTCAAAATTAATTATACAGTCAGTCTTGTTATAAATACTGTCATCAACTTGATTTTCAGTAGTTGGTGCAGTATTATTAGGAACATTTAAATTATTTTCATTAGAAATATTACCTGGTACATCAATGGAAGTTACAACTTCTACATCTTCATAAGTTAATTCAATATTATCCTTTAAGCAATCTTCATAATTATTAAATTCAGAATTATCAGTTTCAAAATTAATTATACAGTCAGTCTTGTTATAAATACTGTCATCAACTTGATTTTCAGTAGTTGGTGCAGTATTATTAGGAACATTAATTAAATTATTTTCATTATAAATATTATCTGGTTCATTTATAGAAGTTACAACATTCTCATAAATGAATTCAATATCATTTAAGGAATCTTCTGTTAAAACTTCATATTTTGTTTTTGAAATAGATGAATTGGCTATTAAATTAGTTTCATATTTTGGTTTCCTATTAGAGAAATTGGTAATATTTGTCTTACTTTTTTTTTTATATGTAATGTTGTTCATATCGTCATCTTTACTACTAGCTTCTTTAGCAAGCTCCAATAGATGTTTAATTCTTCTTTTTGATGTCATGATGTATAATGCTAAAAAAACATAAATAATAATAATCATACAGTGTACCTAATTATTATAACTATCATAATAAAACTGTAATTTTATTTGAGTAGAGAATAACATAATTGAAACTAACTACTTTCATACAATTTTTTATTGAAATAAATTAACTATAACTTAATATTTATAATTACCTGTATAGTAAGACGTTCAATATTATTAGGGGTGAACTGTCTTAGACTAGCAGTCTAGCTCCACCAGCGTTTATGTTGAATAATATTATAATATTGTTCATTATGGTAGATACGTGTTATCAAAATCAAAATGTAATACGTGGTATCACAAAACCTTTAATTTGAGCGGGAAAAAACAATATAATGGACTCGTGGTACATAATAAAAGTGATAGAGAAAATTATAATCTATACAGTGATACCAAAATGTCATTTTCAAAAAAAATGTTATTTACGTGGTATTGCAGTGACAGTATCGAAATGCATGGTGTAACATGTATAATACAGTATTTAATTCCATAGCTTATCATTTTATATAAGTAATAATACTAACTCGAAATTAAATATAACTAAGAAGTAAGAAACAATCTTGTTTCTTTCTTTATAACTTTATTATAGAACTTATTTGGGATTTTGGTCACAGACGTTTCATTAGTAATTTATGTCTGACCGGATACACTCGTAAATTACGCATTGTATATTATTTTATATATTTATTCAAATTTTTATACTAAAATGGACGTGTACTTATCGGAATCAGAATCCGATGACGAAAGCTTACTATTAGTAGCAATGATCGAAGACGAAGAACACGAAAGGTATATTTACTATAGTCTCAATAAAATATTAATATAAAAATATTGCATTAATACTTTTTTTTTAGACATCATCAAGGAAATGCTTGGTTCATAATATAAATAAGGAACGTGACATACTTGGAGAATATACTTCTTTAATACCACAACTAAAAGCAGACCCAACACGATTTTTCATATATTTCAGGATGATTCCAGATTGTTTTGATGAAATCTTAGGTTGGATTTCAGATGAAATATGTAAAGTTCCAACAAACTTTCGCATGCCGATTCCTCCTTCAGAACGACTAGCAATTGCACTGAGGTAATATTTAAATTAATTTAATACATTAAATTGGTATTTAATACAATTTGTTATACAAATATAGGTAATACAAATACAAATGCTCTAAATCACTTTATTTAATTAATACTAGATGTATCTACATTTTATAAAATATAACCCATGTTCATTGTTCATAATAGAAATGGTAATAAAATTACGTTTAAGAAATAAAAATATACAATACTTGTTTACCATGAATAACTACCAAGATTTGTGTAAGTTTGTGCACAATTTTCAACTGATAAATTAATAGGATCAGTGTTTTGAGTTTGAGTTGGGTAAACCACGTGTTGGTCAGTTGTAGGAGGGTAATCGCGGTCCTCATGATAGACCACATCATCATTATTTGATCGATAATTAACCACGTGCTGGTCAGTTGTAGCAGGGTAATCGCGGTCCTCATGATGGATAACGTGATGGTTAGTTGAGCGGGAGCCATGGTAATTTTCATTTTCATCCATTTCTAAATTCCCAATAATATTAGAAATTTGTTGTTTCACAGTAGCTTGCCTTCTCGGAGAAAATGTTTTTATTGTTTTTGCGTGGCTAAGCATGAGCATTTCAATAGCATCAAGTGCACTAGTGGTGACTTTTTGTTTTTTATTTAAATGCTCAAGAACTTTGTCAATGTTAGACACCGTGTTTTCTTTTTGTCTTTCTCTGCGCACACTTTTATTTTGAGTTGAAGAAGCAGGAGGATTGATTGGAGGTAAAGTTTCTGAAAAGCTACCATCATCGTTGTTCTTCGTTGCGACTGCATTAGGTGTCATTGAGCACGTCTACCACTACTTGTTCTCGAACATTTGACATTTTACTTTAATAATAATAAATTAAATAGTTAATTTATCGTGGGAAAAAATGTAAAATAACCTAAACCATTTTTTAGAACATTAATTTTTTGTGACGTCAGTTATCACGTACATTATAATTGTATTCTATGCCAATACTATTTTATTGTTCAAAATTATTCAAATTATTTTACAAAAACACTTACGTACACAGTAGTGTGATATTTAAATATTTAAGTAATTTTAAAAATAAAAAAACAAAAAATATCTACTTATTTAAAAAAAAAAACGAAAGTTGTACGCTCAGAAGATCACTATTAAGTTTAAAAACTAGAGTGAAATTGACCTCTTATAAAATTTAAAGCTAGAGATGGCAAATTACGAAAATACGAAAATACGAACATATTATGAGAATTGATCGGTCAATAACGATTATTCAATTTTATATGTACATATTAATACACGTACAATATAATATATACATTGTTATGTTATTTATTATTTAAAATAACAATAATATATATTTATAATATAAATGAATGGATTTGCCATTCCTGATTTAGTCTATATTTATCATTGGCTTTTTATTATATTCTAATTTTAACCTCTTCATGCATATTGGTATCATATGATAACATAACATATTATAGCGGGAAAATAATTTAGATTACATTATTATTTACAACCAATTGGATCAACCGATTATCAACACATATAGTTTTTATTCCATGAAATATTTCATGTCTCTCATATCATACAGTTATATTATCAATGTTTGAAAATCATAATACGTGATTATGAAAAAGTACAATTCTTGTTATGTTTGTTGTTAAGTTTTATTTATTTATAACTGTTGTTTCACTATATTTTAATATTTTTTAGTTTAGAAATGTTATAAAGATTTATATTATCTATAGTTTTGTCGATTTTATATTAATATTACTTCGTAATACACACAAGTATCCATGGTATCATATGATACAACTGTGCAGTTCAGGTACGTGTATATCACATTTTATTAAAAATATAAGTGAAATATCACTAGTTTTAGAGCTAAATATTGGATATTAAAAACAAAATATCAAAAATCAACTTCCATACAAGCCTAGATAAACTTCTTCCCCTTGATTTGTATAATAGGTGTTCATGCTGTAATGTCACTCAGTAAGGGGAGCGGGTCATGTCTTCGAATGTCATGTGTTCGAAGGTCATGTTTTCGAATGACGAGTGTTAGAAAAGTTATTTGTTCGAATAGTAATGTAATCGAAAAATTATTTGTTCGAAAAATATATGTTCGAAAAGTTGTATGTACGAAAATTATTTATTTAAATTAAAAAGCTATCTAATATTATAAAAATTAATAAACATAAAATTTAAAAAAATATATTTGGAAAAAAATGTTATTATATATATTATATAATATATAATTTTTTGCACGATTGTTATAAATTTGTGAAGCCCTGAATAAAATGTTGAGAGATAAAGTGTTAGATCAGAACTTCCGAGAACAACTAATACATTTTTATATTTTTTATTTTATAAATATTTTATTTCATATATTTTATTCAGGGCTTCACTAATTTATTACAATCGTGCAAAAAATTCAATCTGAAACAGAATCACAGATTAAAATGTTAATATCCGGACATCAAATAAAGAAAAAGAAATATGGTGTGGACCGCAATATGAGATTGCAATCAATTCAACAGCGAATAATCTACAATCCTAAATATTGTTACATGCGGCCCTTCAGGGATCCAAAAGCTTGTTGCACTTTTACAATAAAATGTAGTCAATTTAAATATAAATCAATTGTAATTTATTATAATCAATAATAAATAATGTAGTCGTGGTGAATTGCAGCGTCGTGAGTTGACTCGTTGTAGTAGTCGATAATCTCCATGTAAGTCGTGTGTAATGGCTGGTGGCTAAACGGCTCGCTCGGTCTTGGCGGCTCTGGTACATCTACTTTGGCTGTCTCGCTGTCCCCTATATATATGGTGGCGGCGTCCTTTGAAAGTGAGCGGCGCGTGTACAGTCGTCCTTGATATGGACCTCACGACTATAAACAGTGGCGTATTTACGGGGGGGGTCCAGGGGTACTGGACCCCCCCCAGAATCTCACCAAAAAAAAAAAAAAATTCTTACATATTTGCAGACCCCGATTTATGTAAGCACGCGCGGACATGGTTTTTTCCCGTGAACAAAATATTTATATGAAATATAGTTTAAAATTAGTCAACAGTCGAACGATCAAAAACCCGCCGCCACGCGTAATTAAACTTTTCCTTGTATTATAAATACCCGTATTAGATAAACATCAATAATTCTCGAAACAGTCAAAACATTCTTATCGCCAGGAATTGACGACTCACATCATTCTCCAATAAACTATTTCTATAGGACAATATAGATAGCTATTATTAATCTTTTTGAATTTTTGCTTTGTAAACAAGGAAATTGTCGTAGAACCATTTACTTCATGTTTGTATTTCGTTACTGAACGACGGCGTCGGCTACGAGTGCGAACTGCTTTACATTTTTTCAAAAAAATATAATAGATCTATTACGTAAGTACCAATTAATTATAATAATATAATAAATTAGTAAATAATAATAATAGCTCATTGATCTGATGTGAGCCGTAAGGAATTTATTATTTTTAATAATAACATAAAACATTAATGTAATTTTTGGAGTCAACTGGTCGACAATATTAGTATTCATTTAGAACCATGTTTACCTACGTAATATATTTTATTTTCTGTCCAGAGATAAGCAGAGTGATATGGGCGACTGTTGTCATAATGTCATATTTCTATAATTTAAACCTATTTTTACGTTGTAACACGAAGTTGACAACATATTATTAAACTGCTATCGAAATAATATTAATTGTCAACGTGTACTGAGAATAATATTATTGATATAGGTACGACTATCGGAGCTACGGTATGCCTCGTAATATTCGTTTAACCTATATTATATACTGAACTTTTATAATATACAAAATCATATTATTTTTTCTTTAAAAATCTATCTGTACCCTGTGTCTCTGTGATGTGTATCGGTTCATAAATGTCTCTGATATAAAATGCATAGGTATTACATAGAATCGTCTTGCAAATCGTCGAATGCAATGATTTTTTTTTTAATAACCTTTTGTTTAAAATTAGTTAATATAGAATACCTATTTATTTTTAAATACAAGGGTGTCTCATTTGTGATAGGTGTGAATACAGATTTGACAAAACCTAACATTTAATAATTATTTAATAAATACTATAAAATTTATTTTTTATTTTTTTTATAGCTGTATATTTGCATCTATTTATTGTTTGGTAATTGGAATTGGAATAAATATGTCTTCCAATAAAAAAATAAAACAAAGTTCATTGAAATCATTTATAATTGCACCAGTCGCGTGTCCATCAGATCAAACAGTCGAATCTCCAACATTACAAATTCTTGAACCACATACAACAAAAAAACGTTCTTTATCGCCCAATATTGATGAATCAAATACATTTTCTGATAAAAGAGTAGATGAGAATATTAATATGTATGATATAGGCATGTATACGAATCGTTTGTTAAAGCCACACGAAATTGGAGAAATTCTTCAGCAAATCTGGAAACCCGAAAACAATTTTCAATTTCCAGTAACTGTGAGTTGTAAAAAAAATTTAAGATTTCAATTTTCATGGTTGTCTAAATTTACTTGGCTAGCGTATTCCTTAAAGTTTGATGGAGCGTTTTGTAAATTTTGTGTTGCATTTGCTAATAACGAAGCAGGAACCAATTCTCAACCACTTGGTGCTTTAGTCAAAAAACCATTTCGTAATTGGAAACACGCAACTGAAACTTTTAGAAACCATTCCAGTCTACAATATCATTTAAAATGTTTATCAGACACTGATAATTACCTTAATATAAAAAAAAATCCGTCATTATCTATTGAAAACCAATTGGATTCTAGTCATGCAAAACAAGTAATGGAAAATAGAAAAAACATTATTCCAATAATAGAAGCTATACTTTTATGCGGACAGCAAAACTTGTCAATCAGAGGCCATCGTGATTCTGGTAAAATTGAAGTAGAAAATTCGGAACCCAGAGAAAATGATGGAAATTTTCGTAATATTTTAAAGTATCGAGCACTTGGTGATGCCAATTTAAAAAAATTCCTTGAAAGTCCAGGTCGTATTAAATACATTAGTCCCACTAGTCAAAATGCCATAATTGATGCTTGTAATTCTGTTTTACTTTCTAAGATTGTTAATAGAGTAAATAAAGCAAAATGCTTTACTGTTCTTGTGGACGAAACGGCTGACATAGCTGGAATTGAACAAGTTTCCATTTGTGCGCGCTATGTAAATCGTGAAACATGTACATTGCATGAAGATTTTTTACAGTTTGTTCCGACAGCTGATTTGACTGGCAAAGGATTAGCTACCTTAATACTGGACAACTTAAAACATTTTGGAATCGAAACACAGTATCTACGTGGGCAAGGTTTTGATGGAGCAGCTGCAATGTCGGGTAAATATAATGGTGTTCAATATCATATAAAACAAGCTCATCCACTAGCTGTTTATATTCATTGTTCTGCCCATTCTCTCAACCTTGCTGTCTCTTCATCATGTGGTATTCAAAGTATACGAAATTGTTTAGGAATTGTTGGAAAACTTCGGGATTTTTTTATATTTCCAAAACGTAAAGCTGTGCTTTCACTAGCTATTGAACAATCGGAAAATGTGTTATCAAAAAGATCATTAAAAAGAAGTTGTGAAACTCGGTGGATAGAGAGATATCATTCAATAAATGATTTTTTGGAACTATTCGAAAGCGTTGTAGAAGCTCTTGATATAATTTCTGAATGGAATGATACATCTGACACCTCTCATAAGGCACAAAGTTTAAGAAGTTCGATTTTACAATCAGAATTTATTATATCATTGCATGTAACATCAAAAGTATTTGGATTTGGGCTACCACTGTCGAAACAATTTCAAAAGATCAATATTGATCTGAAGATGGCCATGAGTTTGGCTCAAGATACATCGGCCGAACTAAATGTATTTAGGGAAAATAATGATAGTGAGTTTCATGAAATTTTTATTAAAGCAAAAAATATTGCCAACAAATTTGAATCACCTTTAAAGATACCAAGAATATCTAATGTTCAAAAAAATAGAATGAATATTAAAACTGACGACCCCGAAAAGTACTATCGCATATCCATATTTATTCCATATATTGACTCATTTATTAATCAGCTCAAAACTAGATTTATTGACCATAAAACTATTTTAAATGGCTTTCAATCACTTTTCGACACAAAAGGAAGTGAAGATGATTTTATAAAATTAATTGATACATACAAAGAAGAATTCAATTCACCTACATCAGTTATACTTGGAGAGTTCAAGTTATGGCAAAGAAAATTAAGTAACATGAGCGACAAGCCAAATAATGCAATTGATGCATTGAATATATGCAATAACGACATGTATCCTGGTATATTCAATTTGCTTCAAATTCTAGCAACACTCCCTGTATCGACTGCGTCAAATGAAAGAACATTTTCGAAATTAAAGTTAATAAAAACGTACTTACGTAATACTATTTCTGAAGTAAGTGTTAATATTTTATTCAGTAAAATATTATTTTTTTATTTGTGTAAGATTTATGTTTTTTTTTTCTAGAATAGACTTAATGGATTGGCTATGATGTCCATTTATAGAAAAGATTCTCTCTTACCAAAAGACATTTTAGATGAACTTTGTAAAAAAAAAAGACGCTTAGATTTTGTACTTTAAAATTATAAAATATAATAAAAAAACTATTTTTTATTCTTATAATCTATTAAAAACTATTTCTTTATATCAGTACCTACCTATCTATATTATGTTGGAATTATTGGACCACCCCCAGAAAAAAATTGAAAATACGCCACTGACTATAAAAGTGGTATTCTTTAGTCGAAAACACTTTTGGGTGTGGTCGCATTCCTGGTTGTTATTATGAGCAAATATATGATATTGCGTAATCCCAATTCTGGTTGTTATTATGAGCAAATACATGATATTACATAATCCCATTACACCTCCCTACCAAAAAAAAGATTGTTAACCTTTAAGGGTTAAGAATCTTTAACATCGTTAATTAATAGTTTACAATGGCTGAATTACATTGTTTACATTGTCATTTAAATTTTGTGTACAGTTAACAATTTGATTATAGTATTACATTTGATTACAATAATGTGAGCATTTTACAATTTTTAATGTCATCATTATTATTATTATTGTTTTTTCTTTTATTCATATTACAATTTAAATTGTGGTTAGTAAAATAAATTAATACATTATTTAATTAAACAAATAGTGTTAATAAAATGATTAATAATCTTTAACAAAATAATATAGGTACCTGAAATTACAACATTATAAGCGTTACGTAAGTATACAATTTAAGTATTTCCCCTTTTATATAATAATAATATTTATCTTCCACCTATATACCAATCTTATGTGAATAATTGTTAGATTTGCCATAGACATATGCAACTATAGATTTACTTAAGGTAATTCATTATGTAATTGGATATATAATGAATGTTAATTTATTTATTTGTTTTCATCGTTTAATTTATTTTGTGTTAGATTTATTATTAATTATAATAACTTATTTATTTTTAAAATTTCATAATTATTTTTTTTTTTGCTAAATTATATAGTTTAATGGGCTTTATCTTTGTTACTATGTAATTGAATAGGCATTTCGTTAAAATTACGTCTGCAACTGGATCGTGACAATGTGTAATATTATGATTAATATCGCATGCTAGTTCATGAGCTTCTGATAGTCCTAACATTCTACCATTTTTATTTAATTTACCTAAATAACCTGAATATAAAACTTCCTTAGTCTCTAGGTTTGATAATTCTAATATAAATTCGTCATTATTCCTAACGCTAATTGCCGATATGTTTAAATATGCTAAAATTCCTGTTAATCTTAAACGCTTAATTATCGTGATATCTGACGATCCGTTCCAAAATACTATTAGCGACTCCCTATCGTTTATGTGCAAATATTTTTGCAAGTATACCGTAGACAAGGTCGATCCCCCCTGGTGACTTATATTTTTTGTATAATTGTTCCAGCAATGGTTTAATCACTCTTGCCTTTTTCCCTCGGAATACTCGTTTGATATCCTGCACTATTTCCTTTAGGTCGCATCGGCGAAATCTTCTTAACTTATCATCCTTTGTAGGTATAAGAGGACTCCCCTCCAACTTCTTGGGTTGGTACTTTTCTAAACTATTCGATATCGTGTCGGATACCAGTAATATTTCGTTTTTACTGACGGTAAAGAACTCGAAATCCATTATAAAAAATAGTACCTGTGAGCTAAAATAAAATAATTATATTTTTTTTAAAAAAAAAACTTAAATTGGTTTTTTAGTATTTATTGCTATGTATATGATATATGATATATGATACATGATATATGATATTTGATATATGATATATGTCTCCTGAGGTTATTCTTCGAAAATCGCTTCAATGATGTCGCGTCTTCTGATTAGTTGTTCTATTAGTAAACCCAACTCTACACACATTGGTCGATTATGATTTGGTCTTACGATAACCGTGCGTACAAAGTCATTAACATGGATCATGACCCGTGCTAAGACATTCGGCCTGAAAGGTATGGTCATATTACTATTCGCCCTTCTTATATGTTCCGAGAAGCAATGTAATCTGACTACTTCCCCTCGCGTTATTTGTGTATGATTGGTTGATTCAATTAATTCGTTTTTTAATTCTCTGAGAAACTCAAATGTTTGTAGTTGCATTCGAACGGTTCGTGCTACAGGTGGTACGTTCTTACCCATTTTATTTTTTAAAATTTCTACGTGTTTTTTTTTTTTTTTTTTTTTTTTTTTTTTTTTTTTTGTTTTTCTTCTTAATTTCTGAAATAGTTAAAAGTTATTGTTATATAATTATAGAATATTATTTTACGTATATATATATTTTTTATGCACTTAATATTATTTTATTTTATTTCATAGAATATTGTTATACGTATTATTTCTTTTATGCACGTAATAATGTTTTATTTTATTATTTATTTTTATTTATCTTTATTTATTTAAATTATATTATTATTATTCGTTTTCCTCTTGGTATTTCCTGAAACACAACTATTATTATTATATATCTATAATTTACATGATATATTAATTCCATTTGTCCTTATTATCTGCTTATTGCTTATTTTATATTTATAACTTAGTATTTATTATTTTTATTAATATGTTAAGTATTTATTTTCGTTTTGTATGTTATATTATTTTTTGTATAGTTTATTTATTATTAATTAAATTTAAAGTAAATAATTCGTTATGACTAGTGACTAGTGACTACTCTTAATAAATTTTTATTCTATTTATCTTGGCGACGGTGGTGGAGTAAAGGGTGTCTCTTCATAATTTCGTACGTATTCATTTCTATTGGGTGTCCTATATCTAACTATTCTGACGTGTAATTCCATGACTTCTGTGATCCTGATATACTTGTATTTTATCATTATATAAATTGCTATTATTAGTATAATAGATATTGATGCTAGTACTATAACAAATTACTGTGTACAAATTATATTTATATTAAACTAAAATATCTTATTATATTCTTATAAAATTAAAACCATCTTACATAATCCGATATATCTCTAGTATCGTGCAAATATCTCATATAATCTATTAATCGTTTACATGTGGGTGTCACTGGATCTGATGACATAATTAGAGTTAGAATTCGCGTAATTTTCGTTATTTCGAGAGTATTAAATGGTTCTTCCATACAATTATTCGCGGTATTAATATGTCCTATTAAACACCTCGGCGTGTGTTCCGGTCCTAAGGTATTTGTTTCATGGATTTCTTGTTCAATCGCCTTTCCTAGTTCCACAATGAATTTTCTTTGTCTGTTCCTAAAATTAAAATTAATTTTTATCGTATTTATTTTATTTATTATTATTTTGTATTATTTTCTTTTAAATTGGTTGTATCGTGATTTCATTTATTATTTCTTTCTCCGGTTACAAAAATGAATGTTCTGTTTCTATCCCTAAAATTAATATAATTATTCTAACTTAATATTGCTATATACTTATTATTTCTTTTTTTTTTTTTTTTACGTTATTTCTATGTACAGTAATGACCTTGCGGCCTCGCTGTATAGCTACATTCTCGTTCCCTATAACTGCTGTGACCCGTACGGTCCTAGCCAGATTGGGTCGAGTTTCGTTCTATGATTATTATCTTTTAATAGTACTAAATCATTAACGTATAGTTCTTGTGGATTTTCATTTTTATCATAACGTTCCTTACTTTTTATTTTATTATTTTTTTTTAAATTAAATGATCTCTAGCTATCTTATGCGAAATTTGCATATTTTCTTTTAGATCGAATATATAATCATCATAATTGTAACGTGGTTCAGGTTCGGCTTTTAATCTAATCGGTACCTCCAACGTACGTCCATAGACTAATGCGTATGGTTGAAAATTAGTAGAAGTATGTACCGTTGAATTATATACAAAGAATGTAAAGGGTAGTAAATGATCCCAATTATTTAAATTCTTATCTACATAATGTCTTAAGTACTCGGCCAAAGTCCTATGAGCGCGTTCTACGGGGTTACCCTGCGGTCTGAATGGACTTGTGTTAACCTTTTCTATTTTTTAATATTTTACAAGCATTTGCAAACGTTTTCGAGAGGAAATTAGTTCCTTGATCCGTGAGTATTGTTTCTGGTATACCGTGTACACATACGAATTGTGTAAAAAAAGCTTCCTCAACAGTATTTGCCTTCTGGTCAGGAAGTGGAATTCCTAAAGTGTAACGTGTCAAATCGTCCTCCATCGTTAAAATGTATACATTATTGGACAGTGTAATCGGCAAGGGCCCTACTATATCCATAAATATTTTTTCGAATGGTTTAGACGAAGTGGATGTAATAGCCATTGGTTGTTTTATGTGTCGATTTGATACCTTATTAACCTGACATGACGCACAATTTTTTATATATATTCTAACGTCTTCTTTCATACCCTTCCATAAGAATTGTTTTTTTTTTATTGCGCTTAATGGTTTTATTCACACCTAAATGTTCGCCTAGTTTTGAGTCGTGAAATTGTGATAAAATGACTGCCTTTTCTTCTTCACTATATTCTACATTCGCACATGTAATTATTGTTATATCTGTATTGCAAAATATGTATTGCAACATTGACCTTATTTTTTCCCTTTCTAAATCATCGTGATCGTGATCGCCTATCTTGCCCATGGCTAATTTATTCAGATTGTTTTTCATACAAAATGATTTTAAATTTATTAGTGATAAATATATGCTTTCGTAAGTGGCCTTCTGTGGGTATTTATTTTTCGTTGCTAAGAATATTATAAACCTGTTTTCCTGTTTGAAATAGGGTGTGTCTCCTATTACTTTACTAGTCGGTAATATTGTACCGTTTCCAAATTGTTTTTTTAATTGATAATTCGTTCCTGTTTTAAAATTATATTGCTTGGCAATTTCTGATACTATATTATATTTTTTTGGTGAATCTATTAGTGTACCTATAGTTTCTTTTACATTAATATTTGTGATAATTTGTGTTCCTAACTTTTCGATATATTGTTCGTATGATTTGTTTTTTATTTCCTGAATTGAATATCTGCGTGTAAGAGTATCTACATTTGAATTTAGAACTCCGGGTTTGTGACGTATTTGTAATTGTTTTGTGTTGGCGGCGAATGAATTAAATGTTATATGATTATTTTCTAAGGTTGAGAATATGTGGAATATTCGTGAGTCGGTTGTTCCGCGATAATCTGGTTTATCGTACGAGTACCGCGCCTCTCGTTCGACACGTTTTCGTTTTCCGAATTATTAACGTTTCTACTCTCATCGTTTCTCTTTTTATAACACGAGTCGATATTATGACCAGTTCGATTACAGTATGAACACGTAACTACCTGTATATTATAATTCGTAAGTGGTTGCGTAAAATTTTTCCTATCAGGTGGACGGTTGTTATGGCCATTGCTCGCATAACTAGGTCTCGTATTATTCCTACATCGAGATGCATAATGATTACCATTACAATTATAGCATTTTATTGCTGGCCTATTGATTGGTTGAGAAAAATTGTTTGCACGTGGATAATTATTTGTCCTTACAGGTTTATTTGGTCTAATGTTTTCGTTGTTCCTATTTTCGTAATTCGATCTGCGCTGGTTATAATTTTGTGAATGAATATTCGAATAATGGTTCCTATTTTCCTGTTCTAATCTTAGTTCCACCTGTTCCGACATAGCAAGTTGTTTCGCGATCTCCAGGGTTTTGGGGTTACGAGATTTTACTATTGTTCTAATCGGTTCTACTAATCCTTTAATAAATATCGCTAGAGTTTGTTCCCTTAATATATCATATATAATTTTTGCTTCTGCAGCTTCTTTGCCTAATGTGCTTACGGTACATAACTGATAATATAATTTCTCTACTCTATGACAATAATCGTTTACATCCTCATTGTGATACATTCTAATCGAATTTAATTGAAGTTGTAACGACGATGCCGTGGTTGTTACCTCAAATGCATCTGTTAAATAAATTTTTATAAACTGCCATTTCGATACATTTTTGTATTTAATCATTTCTAACGCTCTACCCGTTAAACGTGTGGTAATATATTTTACTAGTGTTGGTGCACTATTTGTGTCGACTAGACTTACTGCCATATCGCATGCATTTATGAATTGATAGATATCGTCTATTCCTGTGCATAGTGGAATTAATTTAAAAGCGTCTTCTAATCTTATGGTTACTGCCATTTTTTAGTACGTGTTATAGGTAAAAATACTAATGACTGATGTTCAAAACTATCTGTGACTTGGCTACGTGTGATTACTCCTGGACTTGAGTTTCTACTTGCGCTATCTCCTAACTGGGTATCTACTATAATATTCAACTGGGCTTTCTGTTGGGCTTCAAACTGGGCTTGGGCTTCTCTCTGGGCTAATAACTGGCTTCTAACTGGGCTTCTTCTACTACACTAGTGTCATACAATGAATTAGCTACGTTCAAGGGAGATGTACCTTCTTTGTCCATAAATTACTTAGCTACCTATTTAATACGTTAATACTCATAATAATAATAATCAACAACGCCCTATAAATACAATAATAACTTCAATAATATGCCCTTTAATAAATTCAATAAACTTCAATAATACTTCAATAATAAAAATGCCCTCAATAAATCAATAAACTTCAATAATAATCAATAATAACTTCAATAAAATATGCCCTCAATAATAAACTTCAATAATCAATAAATATGCCCTCAATAAATTCAATAAAACTTCAATAATAATCAATAAAATATGCCCTCAATAAAATTTAAAACGTTTTACAATATTATACTTATAGTCAACTACTTAGAATTATCTAATATGTCCTAATTATGTTGCATACGTCTATGTAACAAATTTAAATAATTATTCACTCACAATAATGCTGTGTTCCTGGTTGCTGATGACATGCTGACGGATTTGTTGGTACCGCGACGTGACTTATTTGTTTTTGATGGTTCTTCTTGGAGTTGTCTTCTCGGAAGAGTGTACAGTTCTTCTTTGTTGACGGTAGCCTTTGATGGTTGCCTCCCTTTGTAGAATCCTTTATCGACTGCGCCAGTGTTACATGCGGCACTTCAGGGATCCAAAAGCTTGTTGCACTTTTACAATAAAATGTAGTCAATTTAAATATAAATCAATTGTAATTTATTATAATCAATAATAAATAATGTAGTCGTGGTGAATTGCAGCGTCGTGAGTTGACTCGTTGTAGTAGTCGATAATCTCCATGTAAGTCGTGTGTAATGGCTGGTGGCTAAACGGCTCGCTCGGTCTTGGCGGCTCTGGTACATCTACTTTGGCTGTCTCGCTGTCCCCTATATATATGGTGGCGGCGTCCTTTGAAAGTGAGCGGCGCGTGTACAGTCGTCCTTGATATGGACCTCACGACTATGAAAGTGGTATTCTTTAGTCGAAAACACTTTTGGGTGTGGTCGCATTCCTGGTTGTTATTATGAGCAAATATATGATATTGCGTAATCCCAATTCTGGTTGTTATTATGAGCAAATACATGATATTACATAATCCCATTACAATATTTTAAATTGGAGTTTTTAAAAACAATTGCATATAATTTAAGTTTTTAATTATTGATTTATAACTGCATAGGTATATTTTACTTTTATTTATTAGGAGTTTTTAAAAGCAATTGCATATAATTTAAGTTTTTAATTATTGATTTATAACTGCATAGGTATATTTTTCCAAATATTTTTTTTTTAATTTTATGTTTATTAATTTTTATAATATTAGATAGCTTTTTAATTTAAATAAATAATTTTCATACATACAACTTTTCGAACATATATTTTTCGAACAAATAATTTTTCGATTACATTACTATTCTAACAAATAACTTTTCTAACACTCGTCATTCGAAAACATGACCTTCGAACACATGACATTCGAAGACATGTACCCCACCCCTCAGTAAGCTACATAATTGGAAATACAAAACTAAGTTTCAGTGTTTCACTAAAATTCACATTTGTAATTAGTCTAGATCTTAATTACAGAGATCTGAAACATACAAATTGGACATTACTGGTTGTGTGAAATTTGACGATTTTGCTTTTGCTATAAAACCAAAAGTAAGTATAAAATACTTTAAAGTTTATAATATTTTTATAATTGATATTCATAAACCATAAAATATTTTCAGAACAGAAGAGAAACATGGACATTCTATAGAACACCAGAATACACTACACCTCATCTATTGTGTTCAATTCGTTCTATATGTAGTGTATTGTAGTCTGTTTCACAGACATAGACATATGCGTATCGGTCACTTAAATGTTTGTAGCTGTCAAATGTATAAGCTTTTATAATTTATAAGTTATTATAGTATTATTACCTACTATTATTATTATTGTTTTTTTAATTTATTATTTTTATTATTATATGAGTGGGTTAAAGCCATAGTGGTGTAAGTTACATTTTTCTTAATTAGAGAAACAAAAAGCTTAATTACGAACTCTAAAATAAATTCCCAAATTAAATTATAACAGGAGGCTCGTACCAAACAGTTGTTATGTGTATGAGGTTTGTTAAGAGAAAAAAAAAATTGGGGTAGTTTCCCTCTGGTAGGACTGTTGAGGGTTAAAATGACTTACACCACTATGCATTTCAACAATTTTAATATTTCATGACTAATATTGATACTTAATCAATGACTTACCACTGAAATTATAGTTTAATAATCATGTTAATATTATTTTAATGACGACTTGAGAATATGTAATGATAAGAAAATAAAAAACTTCATGTTAATTATATTTTATTCTTTATACTGTAAAAAGAAAAATGCAAATATTACAAAATAATTTTTTCTTATTTTTATTTTTATTTTAATTTTATTAATCTTCAGGTTCAATGTATGGTAAAGGGCCGATGTATTCATCGTTTGAGTTGCTTACAGAAAGATTTTGAAAAAATCATGGTAAATCGGTGGAATGTAGGGAAGGAGATCAAACATATCTTTTTGTTTGGCGTGAGTAACTGGCCTAGGTCGTTGATACAGATTGGGTGTAGAAACAAGTCCAAGAGAAGGTGGTCTTCCTACTTTAGAAGGCTTCAAGTTCAGAGCTGAGAACGGAAAATCTTCTTGAAGTGTCTCTTTGTAATAAAGGGTATATGGCTCTTCTTTAACTACCCTTATCCACTGCATTTTCAACCACGAAACTGGTTGATTATCTATATTTTTTTTTCTTTTCGTAATCGTATTTTGTAAGTTTTTAGTTGATTTGAAATCCTGTTGACACATTTTTGAAACGTGAAATGGTTTGTTCCTTCTACATTTTAAAATTATTTTATACCAATCGTCAGGTACGTAAATGTGTTTATTTTTTGCGTAAATTTCAATTGAACCAAAATCTGAATCGTTTGGTAAAAACGAATGTCCACTTACCATAAACTTATGGTAGATAATGTTTATATTATTTAAATCACTCCCGACCAACTTCAAGAGCATTAATGCAAAATTCATGTTTCGATTTTAACCAGTACACGTATCACTATAGAGTACGACATGTCTTAACGTTAAAGCCCTTGTACCTAAGTGACGTATGACACAGGATGCAATCTCTTGTGAGCTACGAGAAGCTATAGTCTCATCCCAAACATACATGAACCCAATTCCGCTGCTCATCTCATGACACCCAAGGTTGTAAACATATATGTTCCTTTAATAATACGCCACAGAAGTAATTATAGGAAACGGTAATGCCTTCTCTAAATCAAATGTCATCACGTAATAAGTCTCATCTTGTTTAGATTTTTCCGTGTCATTTCTAAGGGAATTTCGTGCAGCCTCAGCTTTTCGAAGATGTAATTCATGTTGCACTGTCAGCTGCGATTTTTCATCCTCATTGCCTTGTAAGGCAGATATTTTTAATTTAAAACAATCACACTTAGCACAGGTATCAAACGAAGGAGAATGAAAATGTAAATGTAAATTGTTATTAAAAGTCCTTCGATATATGGGTTCATTAACAGGAGTCACGTCAATTTCTTGACAGTGTTCTGTGTACAATCTGTACATGAGACGAATATTTAAGTGAGAGGGAAGATATTTTCTGTTTGGGTTTTGTGATCTTGTGTAATGTGACTCATAAGAAGGAAAAGAAGAAATATGATCTCGCACTATGCTCATTCTTTCTTCTTCTATTTTATTCCCCGGTACGTGATGCCCCCTATTGTCAGACCCAGGTTGTTCTCCTGTTGCATTTTTTTTTAGAGCTCTCGTTAATCGCCCGTCAGAAATTTGTAAAGTTTTCAAAAAATAAGATTTACAAACTCTTACGCTATTGCCTTCAACTTGAAAACGATAATGGTTGCTTGTAGATTTTTTTTCCTAGATGAATCTCTAGGGCGTCTTGTAACCGGGGTGGTTTGGGAAAATAATCAACAAATGTAAATGTTTTGGGAAGAAAATGATCCTAAATTCCAAAACGTCTCAAACAGCCGTTTTCTTGATGCTTTGGGTATTTTTTCAATGCATTTTTTATTACATTTACAGTCAACATTCTCAAACTTCTTTCCGTCTAATTTTTTATTTTTGCATGTCGTATATGATTTACCTGAATTACGGCACCTTTTACGATTTTCCACTTTACTGACATACTTCTGACGTTTTCTCGAACGACGTCCAACATCAGTTTCAGGTCCATCGTGGCTATCTGCAAAAATGTCGTTTTACTACAATTTTACTACCTAATGGTTTTGTACAGAGCTACAAAACGTTATATATAACATTAAAACGGAAAAAAAATAAACGAACTAAATCAAAAAACGAAAAAATTGAATTACATTATACATAATTATCATTAATTATAATAATTAATGATTAGAAATTATCAATAAACATATACGTAATGTAAAAAAAAAGTTGCAAATAACGTTATTTAAAAAAACTAATAGGATAAACTGCATTGCAATCATTTTAAATTTCTATAAAAATTTATTATAATAAATCAAAGCTTTTATTAATCAGGTATACTTCAATACTTGTAGGGACAAATTAATAACAAATAATAAAACCGAAATTATATTATTAATATTATTAATATAGGCAATATCTATTCTCTTTATTTATTAAAACTATACAGTACATAACGAATTATGTATTCAAAATATTTAGGTGACTTACCTGAATTTTCTGAAAACGGCTCGTCATTGTCAGGAAAATAATCGTCACTACTGTCACCATCAAAATCTACTGAATCACTAAGTTCAAAATCGTCGGTATTATTTGCCATCGCAATAATTATATTATATCAAAATATTATACAAAACTGTGAAACTTAAACTTTTAAAGACAACTTCGAAAAAGAACAGTATCAAAATATTATCATAACTACGTACAAATAAGTTAAGGGGATTCGATCCAGCGTATTTATTTCATGATTTAGACCTAAAAGCCTGACAAAAATACGCCTACTTAGAATTATCAGATTTCAATTCTGTAAAAAGATTCGAGTTCATTGACAATTTTCCTAGGTTATTGTGGGAATCAATTTTCGATATTTTTTTTAGAATTCACGTTAAATCATACTTCGATTTCTCAATTTTTGAAAATTGTTTGTGTCTTTCTTTAAAAAGTTAAACAGTTATTCAAAAATCGACTCCCACAATAACCTAGAAAAAAGAACGATGAATTCAAATATGTTTACAGAACTAAAATCCGATCATTCTAAGTTATCGTATTTTTGTCAGGCTTTTAGGTCTCAATTGATTGAAATTAGTTTCTCGTTGGAACAAATATTTTATTATGTGACATGTGCATGCGGGTGCGAACCACTGATTCCGAACGTATATCTACGCACACTAATGATCATTTATTTCGCACACAAACACACTGCGAAACGATTATAATACATCGAATTGCCTATACACGACCCCTTATTAAATCACCGGATCGAATCCCCTTAATTGATAATATTAATTAATCAATTTAAAACAATATAAAACAATGATAAAGAAACATTTACTGTCATAGTGGTGTAAGTCAACTTACACCACTTTAACTGTTAATGAAACCGTTGATTTATTCCTGTTTAAAATTGTAGTGCCATCTAGTGGTAGAAATTATGAGCTACGACTTACTTCACTTTGCCATTTAAAAAAATTGATATTTCATAATATGCCTACAATACATAACTCAATTTTTACGAAAATGTGACTTACACCACTATGGCTTTAACCCAGTCATATTGTAACGTAATTTTTCATTGTAATTATTCCCCTGAAAAATTTTAAACTATTTCCCCTTTAATATTAACCGTTTTATAAAATGCTATTACTATTTAATTATTCAAAAAAATATATTTCTGGTATTAGTATTATTAATATACATTTTCCATATTGACATATTTTATTATTATGAGCTATTATTATATCTATTGTACATCCAACTTGTAATATTGTGTGCTTGAAATGTCAAAAAAACCCACCAAATTTTAAAACAATATTATTTATTTGAAATACTATGTAAACATGTAAAATACACTCACTTGATTACTCTAAACTACAATAGTTTTATTTAACTAATGGCCTTTGTTGTTGATGAAAAATAGTTTTATTTCATAATTATTATTCACAGTGTCCCCTTCTACAATATTTATATATTTTAATGTAATGTAACAAAATCCCGTTCCTCCAGTGAAAAAGTAAGTTATTTAGTCATTTTATTCGGACATACCCCTCTAAGAGATGGCATGCAATTCGGACGGACCCCTCCAAAAGACGGCATGCAATTTGGACATTCCAATTTATATTTATTTTTTTGGCATGCAATTCGGATGCACCGATAATTTTATAACATTGGATATTCACTCGATTTCCTTATTTTGTTGTAATTCAAAAACGAATAACTGTAGATAACTACATGAAAATTTCACTGAATGTTTATATTAGCATTTCCTATACACCCTACAATTTTGAAAATATGTTGACTCTTTTTGAGCTGTTTACGGACATTTTCAGTTTTTAATTTTTATAGTTTTTTCTATAAATATCAATAAAGTTTTATCTGTTGGGCCAAAAAGTGTAAAAATTTAATATAAGGCTCCTGATATATTGTTACAATAGCAATTGAAAAATATAAAAAATACATTGGCACAATTCTTTTTTATAAGCATTTAAAGATCGAATTTTGACAAAATTTATCAAATTTAAAATTAAATAATTATTTTGTAGTTAAAAATTTATAAAATATTCAAATTTTATATTTAAGAATTGAAAATTTAAAATAAGATTCCATGTACCTAAGTAGTTAATTCTGTTACCAACAAATCTAAAAAATACACAAGTACAGTTTATTTTTATAGTCAATTTAAGTTCAAATTTGGACGAAATTACATATTAAAAAACCTAAAATAACTATTTTAGTTATTTTGTTGTGATTGTATAATATTATTCGTGGGTACCTACTAGAAACTTCTAAAGTGTACTGTTATATATCTATGATAGTATCACAGTTTCTTGTTGATGTATAACGCTTTATATGTACCTAATGGATATTGTGATATGCTTAATATGGAATTTATTATAGGTAAATTTTTTTGTTAAGAGGCCGTCCTAGTAAAAGTGAAACGAATGCAACGCTCAAGAGATGGTTCGTTTCGCCGCCGCACAGTGGTCTGTATTGTAAATTAGCTTACATTAATTAATACCTTCTTAATATGAGTTAAAAAAATTATGTTAAATATAAATTCTAATAGTTTTTAACATGCTAAATCCAAATTTCTTATCAGTTCTTAAATCAGCCCCTAATTAGGGGTAAAAATAGCTACTTTCCTAAATTTTCATAAAACTTGTATATTGAACATCAATTAATTTACATGTTCTAAGGGTGTATCCAAATATAATATTCATTCTTAATCAACCCCTAGTTATGGGTAATAGGGGATGTTATTAATTTTTAAAATTAAATTAAATACATTTATCAATATTTAACATTGTAAGTAATATAACTATAAAAAACTACGTTAACAATATATTATAGTAACGTCACTATCACATAATGTCACTATCACTATCACAATCACTGTTCAAATTTGTTTCGTCTAACTGCATTACATTCAATAACGATTTAGCTTCAATTGATAAGTCTTGTAATATTTTTTTTGGAAGTAATCGTATGGTCGATATTAAAGGGTCGGATGATATCAATAACACATGTAAGAGGTCTTCGTTAGTGTTTATTCTTGAATTTTTTCTTGTGTGGTGTCTTCTGTACATTTTGTAATCTTTATTTCGAGATTC